CGGGTTTTATTTACCGGTAAACATGCATATGCATATAGTTTAAAAATAGGAGACATATCGGGAACCCGATTGTTGTCCGGTATAGCTTCGTTCGACCTGTGGTGATAAGTTATATATTTCAGGGGGTATACATATAATAATAGTGTTGGAATTTTAAATGACCTTTTTTATATTGATTTATCAAAGTCATTTAATGTGCGTGCACCACCAGTAAAAGAATTGCCTTCTATGCCTATATATCATGCTGATTCTGCCGCATCATTCGGTGGAATGGATAAATCTTTGATCTGCATAATTGGTGGTTACTTCGTTTATGAAAATGGAACACCTTTTGTTGATGATAATAGCGCATTTTGGACTTTCAATACAAGACAAGAAATATGGACGAACCAAACCATCTGGGGATCAAAAAATATTAGTCTTGATATTTGGGCCGACAGCGCTGTCACAGATTTTAAGAATCGTATAATAATGGAAGGTTACACTGAATTGCTTATGTTTGACACTATTAAATTTACATTGTCATACCTCCGGTCATTTGATCAGCCACCACTAGATATTTTTTTTACATCTACAATTTTGGATAACGGAATAATAGTCTATATTGGCGGAATGGATGCTGACCCTGATTCTATGTATTCGGTAGAGAATTGTGCTATCATTTATCTTTATTTTGATATCAAAATTTCTTTTTAACATTTTATCTTTATGATAGCTTGATATTTATGATACTAATTCATGTGCTTGGGATAAAATGGTATTTATTTTATTATTTTGAATTAGCTAATAATATATACTTTATTTTAATATTTTGATATGTTAGAATGTAACAGGTCCACCAGGGATTCAGGCGCGCTTCGGACACTCTGCTGCACTTGGTAATAATTAACTTAAATTATTAAAAACTTTATATGTTTTAAACTAATATTTATACAATAATGTTTTTAAAGATCACGTAGGACTTATTTACATATTTGGCGGACAAACATTCCCTATCACTAATGCAACAAGTGAATTAAGTGTCGAACCATCCCCAAACTTAATTATTCTGGATATTAATAAATTTTCCTGGATTGTTCCATCACAACATCTTTCTCCTGGTGATCTAATACCACCACATTCTCTTAGTTATCATGGAGCCGCCATAGTTAACGGATATATGATAATTACTTATGGTAAAAAAAAAAAATTCTAAAACAATAAAATAATTATATTAATATAATTGAATTAATTGAATATTATGTTATTGTATAGGTGCAATGGCCCATCTAATAAAATATATCTTTTTGATATTATTGAGCGCGAGTGGGTTGGCAATTATTTCCCTAGATGATTCGGTTTCAGTAGAAGCCAAAGAAAAAAAATCTGTGCTTAAATTTAGCATATGATAATACTATGTGAGAAAAAACACGCATTATGTGATTCCATCATTATTAGATTCATATACCAACATAATTACACACTCCTCAATTTAGTTGCATCACATCGAGGTCGCACATTTTCGAATCTATTATATGAATGTAGCAAAAATAATTAGAATAAAACAATAAATGGATGATTATGTAATTTTTCTTACAAATTTCCAAATTTACCTCTGAATTTAGCTGATTCATACGTTAGTTTAATTTCCTTGGTGTTTATTAATCTGCTGGTATACATGAAGTTTTTGTAATTCAATGAATTAATTTGTGTTACTTTGACCTCTTCATTAGCAGAAACAAAACTTCTTTTAATATCGGATTCCTCTTTATTTGATATCCAGAGCTTCATCACAATCATGCGCCAGTTTGAAAGTTTTGAGCTAATATCCTTAGCACTAGGTCTGTTATGTGGATCAGAATCCATGCATTGCTTAGCTAATTCAATATAACATTCAGGTGTTCTTTCAGAAAATTCAGGTCTTAGTCCGTTACAAATGCCCAATGCGAGTCCAGAGTCAAATGGAGTACCAAAGAAAGGTCTTTTTCCAGTTGACAATTCTGTCATAATAATACCTAGACTATATATATCAGCTGCTTGTGTATATTCTTCACCTAATAAAATTTCTGGTGCAATATATGGCATGACTCCATAAACTTCTCCTTTTGAAGCTGATTCTTTCAGGTTCTTAGATAATCCTAAATCGGTAACAAAAGACTTTATAATATTTTTGAATTGATTTAGCAATATATTCCCACTATGAAAATCACAATGAACATATCCTGAATCATGAATTCTAGCCAGATCATTTGATATATCTATAAGATGCCTCAATTTTTTTTCCCAATCGAGTTCTTTAAAATTTGATATCAAAAAATCGTACATATTTCCGCTATTGGCATATTGAAATACCATAAGATATGTCTGAGTTTCTACATGCTGAGTTATTCCATATATCTCAAGTCCAAGACCATTCAATCTACATTGAACGTGATTTTCGAACTAATTAAATTAGTAATATAATTATAAATTGTCAGAATCATCGTTTATACTATATATATATATTGCGCTTTGTAAAAAGTTGTAAATAAATGTAGTAATTGAAAATACGTTTGAAATACAATTTATTATAAATATCAGAGATTTCATTATTGTTGTCACAAAAATCATGAGACAACACCTTTTTGCAAGGGAATATAATAAAACTTAAACTTACTTCTTTCAAAGTGCTAAGAGTTTTAAGTGCAACTTTGTATGATTGTTCACGTGCTTGATAATTATCTTTAATTGTCGGCTTGCCATCTAACCAGATTGCAGACAATATTGTACCAAATCCACCTTTACCAATTATTTGCTGATCAACTAGCCTATCAAATGGAATCCATTCAATTAATTTCTCATATTTTGTAGTTTTGATCTGAAAACTTTTAACGCATTCATCGATCTCTTTATTTCCGCTGGACCACCCTTGAACTATTCTCTTTGGATCACATAATTGACACCACGTTCTAGAGAAATTATAGTATTTACAATTTGTACATCCTTCTAAAGTTTTATATCTTACTAAATCTTCATGCGATTCTTCATATCTAGTCAACATGTAATAAGTTGCTCCACGGTTTCTTAATGCTTCTGAATTATTTGGTTCAATTTCTAGGGATTTATTTAAATCTGCAAGTGATTCTTCATATCTTCTCATCATGCGATTAGTTTCTCCACGATTACTTAATGCAAATGCATTATTTGGTTCAATTTCTAAGGATTTATTTAAATCTGAAAGTGATAATTCGTATCTATTCATCATGCGATAAGTATCTCCACGACTTCTTAATGCAAATGCATCATTTGGTTCAATTTCTAATGATTTATTTAGATCTGCAAGTGATTCTTCGTATCTATTCATCATGCTATAAGTTAATCCACGACTTCTTAATGCTTCTGCATTATTTGGTTCAATTTCTAAGGATTTATTTAAATCTGAAAGTGATAATTCGTATCTATTCATCATGCGATAAGTATTTCCACGACTTCTTAATGCTTCTGCATCATTTGGTTCAATTTCTAGGGATTTATTTAAATCTGCAAGTGATTCTTCATATCTATTCATTATGCGGTAAGTTTCCCCACGAAATTTTAATGCTTTTAATGATTTGTTTAAATTTAGAATTGCTTCTTCACGAATTCTTAATGCAAATGCATTATTTGGTACAATTTCTAATGATTTGTTTAAATCTGCAATTGACTCTTCGTATCTATTCATCATGCAATAAGTATTTCCACGACTTCTTAATGCAAATGCATTATTTGGTACAATTTCTAATGATTTGTTTAAATCTGCAATTGACTCTTCGTATCTATTCATCATGCAATAAGTATTTCCACGACTTCTTAATGCTCCTGCATTATTTGGTTCAATTTCTAAGGATTTATTTAAATCTGCAAGTGATTCTTCATATCTTTTCATCATGCGATAAGTTTCTCCACGAATTCTTAATGCAAATGCATTATTTGGCTCAATTTCTAATGATTTATTTAAATCCGCAAGCGATTCTTCGTATCTATTCATCATGCGATAAGTTTTTCCACGACTTATTAATGCTTCTACATTATTTGGTTCAATTTCTAATGATTTATTTAAATATGCAAGTGATAATTCGTATCTATTCATCATGCGATAAGTATTTCCACGACTTCTTAATGCAAATGCATTATTTGGTTCAATTTCTAAGGATTTATTTAAATCTGAAAGTGATTCTTCGTATCTATACATCATGCGATAAGTATTTCCACGACTTCTTAATGCAAATGCATTATTTGGTTCAATTTCTAAGGATTTATTTAAATCTGAAAGTGATTCTTCGTATCTATACATCATGCGATAAGTATTTCCACGACTTCTTAATGCAAATGCATTATTTGGTTCAATTTCTAAGGATTTATTTAAAT